AACCAATTTTTGCAATTTTTTGAGTTCTACACTAGTACCAATAAGGGTTTTAGAATTATCACTCTTTGTTCCAGTACATTTTCCCCTTCTAGAGAAAAAACATTTTAAGCTCGAAATAAAAGATTGGCTAGTTTGGTCTGTCACAAAGTCTAAGTGTATGGCTTTTGTACTCATACATACATATACTACGACATTAAATTTGTTTCAAAACTCCCTTACGTTGATTCTTAAACTTTATTGCAAATGGCTGCAGAAATCAACACCAGTTATGTTAAATGGGTATGATGGTGTGACCCGCTCTTTGGGCAGCTCGGCCATTTTGTTGAACTGTGATGGATTTATTCTTAAAACATGTCACACATCTGTAGATGATCTTTCTACAATTATTTCTGCCATTGAGTGGCCAGAACCTTTGTTTTACCTGATGTAACAGTGATTGTGATTCCTAAATGAAAGTACCTCAAATGAAAATGCTCTAAAATAATAGCAGTTAAACAATGTTTACTAGGTAAAATTATAGGGTGTTTACTATTAGCAGGTACGTTCCGAATAGGACAATCGTCTGCCCACCACTCTAATTAGCCCCATGTTATCAAGAAACACATTCAGTGATGCTGATTATACTTTTGAGGTTTACACACTTACCTCTTTTTAATTGATTTATTATCTTCTTGAAACTCATTTTTTTGGGCCTTCTAATAAAATATACACCTCAGCATCCTTTATCTCTTCTAAAGTAAGTATTCCATACCTCCTTACCTGAGGGTTCTTAAGATTATGGATAAACCTGAAAATGAAATTTTACAAAACGAATAAGTTTAGTATAATTAGAAGACAAATTAAGATATCATTAAAGAGGTTTGGTTCATTACATGCATTAAAACTAAGTTAGAATCGTTATGCAGTTCATTGTCCTTTTTAAGTTTCATTTGGACACACTTCTTCAACTACACAAACGATAAGTCCTGATGAGGAATCTCTGAGCATGTTAGAAAGTCACAGCATGACCACCATTTGGAACAGTTTCACAGAAGTCAATTTGAACACCACGCATCATAACATCTGCTGGGTTCTCTTTGTTGAACAATAGAACCACTCTGTCGGCTGTGTTAACTTCCTAATCTCGTTAACTCTGTTGGTGATGAAAAATTTCCATTTGGTACTGGTACCTTTAATCCATTTGGTACCTTTAATCCAGCATAGCACTATTTTGGCATCAGTCCAATAAAATATTCTCGAGGATTTCTTTTGATCAAGCAATTTTTTCACTCCAGAACCCAAACGCGCTGCTAGTAATGCACCAAGTAATTCAAAACGAGGTAACGCAATTCTTTTCACAGGTGCAACACGACATTTTGATGCGACGAAACTTGCAGAAATTTCTTCTTGCTTACGAAGTTTTACGTAGACAACAGTACCGTACGCCCGAACAAAGAATCGAAATTAGAATTTACCTCTGTCTCAAGCACTTTAAATTTATTCTTTAGTACTTCCAAGTCACTTCTTTGGACATTTTCGTCCACAACCTTTTGTTTTAACTTTGTTAACTGTATTTTAAAGGACATTTTTTCGCTAATATCTCCTTTAGTGACATTTTAATTAGCAAATAAAGAGCTTCAAAAAGGTACAATGAGCTTCAAAAAGGAGGAGGGTACTTACCCTTTTGTTTCTACAGAACTTCAATCTGGAAGTATCCTATGTAATTCTTCATTTCACAAAATCGAAAGTAAACTCACAGTGTCATAAATTTCATTAGCTGTTCCGGCTCTGATCGGCCACAAAACCTGAAAATGACTTATTCTATTTTCCGTCGATAGCTATATATCATAATAAAATAAGACCACACACATTACACAGTTTCAATACATTTATTTTCCATAGCTACTCGCTGGCGCTAGGTTTCACCTTACAGCATAACATATTAATCACAACTTCCAATGTACTAAAAAATCAAGTTTTTTCACAGAATACATTTCAGTGCCGATTCCGACGGCGCATGGGCCATTAGCCAAAGATTCCGCTCTGGCGCCAAGCATTTCTCAGCTAATACAAAACAGATATACACATATAATTCTGGAAAACTTTTAAAATAAGGAATTTTAATAGAAATAGTTAGTAAAGCTACTGCAAGTTACATATGTAATATGAAAATTTACATAGTAGATGGCAAAAAATTAGAAAACACAATTTTCTGTGTTCCAGAACCAAATTGTATTCTGTGGCATCATGTCTGTCAAGGTAATTATTAGAATAATGTTGCCACCACAGAATGTTTGCTTCAACGAAACACTTAAGCTTACTCTGCAATAAAAAGCAACAGAAGCCTTCTGAGGTCTTTTGAAAAATTTGGCAACAGTTTGAAAGCAGGGAAAGCATTTCTTGCAAGAAAAATATCATCCTTCTCCAGATTTGAAAAGATGAGAGACAAGTTAGTATAGTCAATACATTGCATAAGCTACCATTGAAAGACAAGAAAGAAAAAGAGAAGGCAAAGGGAAAAAGACCTCTTTCATTCATAAATATAATAAATATATGAAGAATGTAAACAGTATCTTAGTCCTCAGGAAAATTAGCAAAAAAGTCATATTTTGGTACTTAAATTGGGCTATCATTACTCCTAAAATGTGCAGTTTTCAATATATTCAGGATCCGTTATAAATATCACAACTCTGACTAAATGCTGTCATACAAGAATTTCTTGCTTGAAACAACTAACTACTTGAAACGCAACTGAAAACAACTATTAGGTAGTAGTTAACACTAACAAAGGAAGTGGAAAGGGAAGAAGGGTCCAAAAAATCATGACTTCCAGGACACTGCATGAAGAGCCACTGGATAGATTATTAGAGGAGATGTGAAAAAAAAAATAAGTTGGAAACATTAATGATAGAAAATAAGTAGTACCCATCAAAGACATGTCATGTTTGTGCTGCACAAGAGAAAAAGGAAGAAACATATATATATGGTCTCTTTTCACTGTGGATGTACATAAAGAAGAATGTTTTGAGAGGTATCGCACACTGATGCACTGCTAGAATAGAATACCTAGTGAGTAAAGAAATAAAATTTTAATTATGTATGTGACAAGAAACGTTTTTCTCATTTGAAAAGAGTGGTATGCTATTCCAAAGTTGTAAAGTTAAAAGGCCTAAAGTTTAAATGACCAGTCTGCAGCTATGAATACTGCCTATCCCTGTAGCCTTTGCAGTATACTGCCTAAGCTGCTGTGCAGCTTAGGCAATATTCATAGCTGCCTAAGCTGTTAACTCTTTTACATCGAGAGAGGACCAAATCTCTTTTACTCAAACATCGAAAACGCCTGTGTATACGAATTTCTGTTGGAATACTTTTCCTTCCCCCATGACAAATTAAATACTACAATGCTAACAATAACCTACTTAAGTAAAGCAACAACTTCTTTCTTGAACGCTTTCACCCTGTGTGAAATTCCCCCTTGGAACAGAATTGCAACTTCGGGCATCAATAGCTAAACATTGACAGCAAACAAAGAAAAAAGAAGGTGCATTAAAATAACAGAACTACTTTTAGTTGCTTGAAAAGAATGATTGACATGCCATTTAACAACTCTTGAAAGCAATGAGAAATGCAGTAATGTGATTGGGGAAAGCACTAGGTAGGAAATTAGTCAGGCGGTCGGGCGGCCTGCCATTGTCTGAATGCTCGGGTGTTTGGGACGACTTCAATGTGAAAAAGTAATTATGAAATGTATCATATCTTAAGCACAAAATTAGTGAATTAGTGAAATATGATAAATATGTTATTTTAACACATGTGTGTGTCTGGGTTTGGTATAAAGTTAATTACTAAGTAGTGCCTTTTTATCTAATATGTTTCATTAATTATCACTTACAGAAATTTTATATTTCCTCCAAATAGTTTAGAGAAAGCTCTAGAAAATGTTTAGTTTTAATTTTTAAAAAAAAGTTATCTAACTCAGCAAATTTATTTTATAATAGCTTCACAAGTTTTCCATGTAAAAATATAAAATTTCTTGTATTTAACTTACTGAAGCATAGTAAAAGCTGTATTTGAATTGTTACCCCGCCAGTGCCTGAGTAGTAAAGTCGCTAAACATTGGAAGTGATGTCTGGGGTTCTAATCCCAGTAAAGTGGCTGGATGCATGGGCATTTTAGTGGTCTTCCCCGTGTGTCATGTGTATACAAGCCAGTCTTAGAAAGTTCTCCATGAAGACAACCATCCACATAGGCAGATAATACTCAAGTTCTTTGCCATAATCAGTTCAACCAAACCAAAAACCAAGTATTTAAATTTTGGGGTCTGCAAAAACCAAATAAAAAAGTTTAAAAAATTTAAAACCAGTGCACTTTAAGTACTGAATCTATTTGCCAAAAATTCCCAGCTTTATTCTGAGAAATTTTGCATGTAGAAGTACATTTTTAGGATCAATATTTTAATAAAATCTGTATTCAACATTTTTCAAAAGCATTATATTTCTTCAAAAAAGTCATTCTTAGATTGGCATACATTTTGAATAGTAGTGATTTTGTGGGCAATCAGGCATAAATCTGTCTTTCCTCAAAAGCCAAAAATGTTTTAGGAATTAGATGTTTTATAATGTAATGCAAAACAAAGCCAGCCACAAAGAAAAAGACTGATTACAAATTTAGAGCACATATCAGCTCCAGAGCAATAACAAAAATCTAGCATTGTCTTATTTTGTGCTGATTTCTTTCATTCATGGGTCTTTATGTTGAACATTTTCTTAATATGGCATGTGAAAAATTTTGAATTCTTCAAAATTGCTCTTGTTAAATTTTTCAGGAGTTAATTACGGGTGCAGTTCTAGTCTTATGTTAAAATGGGTATTTTTGGACAAAGAGCTTCTCATAGTAACAATAATAATGTAATATTATATTTTAGGCCTGAACAGTTTCAAATCTCAGTGACTTGCTGTTTTAAAATAAAAAGCAGAGCTTTTCATATTTAATTAAAATTATTTATGTTATTTATTTTTCAGCAAACCAAAGCAAAGTTTTTGGATACTATGTCTCTACACATGTGTATGTCTGGTTTAACTGGACTGCAAAGAGCAATGTCTATTGCTTATAAGAAAACAGAAGGCAACAGAAACAAGAACACAGAGAATGAAGTAGAGAATGATTTTTTTAACCCAAGTCTGGTAAGACGGAAGTGTTATGTTTTCTTTATACGATTATGATGTTTGGTTTGGTAATTGCATGTTTGTAGACTTTTTTAAATTTTGATATTTTTATAATTTCTTAAATAAAAAATGTATTTTCCCCCAAATTTGCTATTACTGTATAAATTTCTAATATTTCTTTCCCTCACTTATGAAATGATTGATATTTTACTATAAAATCTGTATTAATATAAGTGATAAAGATAGAAGAGAAACACGCCTCAAATAAATCATAAAAGTGAAGCAACACAAGTTGTTGCTTCACTTTTATAAGTAATAAAACTGATTTATTTTAGCATGATAAATGTTATGAGTTTTTTTTCATTTTTACAGTTTTATGATGTTATTTATAAAATATGGGTTTTATATTTTTAGAGATATTTTTTCCAGGTATATATTACTAATACTGGATGCCAAAACTGATCATAGCATGTCTATATATGTCTGCTTGTCTATTGTAGTTATGGTCTATTGTAGTGTTCAGGACGTAGCACAATAAGACTTTATTGAGTTGGTTCATTAAAATTAAACCTATAGGAATTCATGTCTAAAAGTAGCAAAAGTTTATATAGTCCTCTTAGGGAACATACAGTACATACTTTAAAAAGGCTATTGAAGAATTACCTCTTAGACCTTGTGAAACAAAACAAAAGTCAGAAGAAGTTTGTATAAGACTCTTTTATTCGAACACAAACTTAACAATTACCCAACTTAGGTTTACACAAGCCAAGCACTTCTGTCTTAACAGAAATATGTAATCATGAACAAATTCAAAATGTGGTAGATTAGCCTAATGTGTCACAGGCTAATTTAACACGCAGGCAAGGCTCTGATTTGTAGAAAACTGGTGAGACAAAGCCGAATGGCTAGAAGCACTTAATGCCACTAAATCAAGTTCATAATAATCACAGCATAACATGGCCTGGAATAGGCAGACATGCTCTAAAACTAACTTCCGAAACTCTTGCTTAAATAGCACTTCTTTGTACCTTAATCTGAATAAACGCTTGCTGTCTCATTTACATTCTGGCATGAAAAGCATGGGTGAAGAGATTACCATATTTGATGACATATAAGACGCACCCTTATTTAAAAGGCCACACACGAGGAAAAAATGTTTTAATAGTCCATGCAATAGCGCGGTACCACAATAACTTAAAATGTGGTTTCTTTTAGTTCTCATGTTTTGTAAAAGCCAAATAAACAATCATTGAATGCAATTACCAAACATATTTTTATTAAGGAAAATTAACAAAACGGTAAGCTATTTTGAACATGATATGTAAATTTCAGTAATGACTAAATGAATGAACGACAAGCAATCAAACATAATACAAAATAAAGCAGAAACAACAAAAAACACAGATTCATAACACAGAACATAGTAGCACTGATACCAACACATGTGTCGGCTGAGTCAAAGAAAGTCTATGTAAAGAAGGAAAGGCTCCATAGACGTAATGTGACTGTCGAACCTGTTCAAACTTCGACATCAGCTTCGAGCTTTGGTGCTTTTTGGCGACACATATTTCACGCATGCGCAAAATAATTATGGTTGAAAAAGTTATGTGTATCTAGACCTTTATCCGGGCTAAAAATAGCATTCAGTATTGAAAGTTAACCTGTGTCCTTCACGTATAAGACCCAGGTAATTTTTTGAGACCAAATTTAGGTAAAAAAGTGCGTCTTATATGCCGTCAAATACTGTAATAGGAAAGTGCTAACTTAAAATGAACTAGTAGTTAAAAATCAGTAAACTTCACAAGTTACTTACTTGTTCATCTTATATCTCTACAGATTTTCGTATTTCTAAAAATTCCTGGTAGTATTCAACAATAAAGTATCTCAATAAATTGAATTTTGAGACTTTATTTACACATAGTAGTGTGCTGGAAACAGAATAAAATGAGCATTTGTTGCAGAAAAAACTGTCACTTCAAGATAATTATTTAAAAATATGGTTGAGTAATACAGTTTCCAAGATACAGAGAGTGTCGAGTGCCCTTGCACAGCAGATGAACATCATATGTTGTCTTTTGATGAACATCATGTCTTCTTTGTACCTTAATCTGAATAAATGCTTGCTGTCTCATTTACATTCTGGCACGAAAAGCATGGGTGAAGAGATTACCATATTTGACGACATATAAGACGCATCCTTATTTAAAAGGCCACACACGAGGAAAAAAAGTTTTAATAGTCCATGCAATATCGCGGTACCACAATAACTTAAAATGTGGTTTTCTTGCTTTGAAACTATAAAGCATAGATACTAAACAATATTTACAAAATATGAGACAGTAAATCATACCATTAGTCAGTTTTGCTCAAGGGAGATATGCTAACCACTTTCAAAGTTTTTTTGGCAACATCAGAAACAAGAAGCAGTCAAACTGTTGCAAAATCACCTTTGGAATGGATTTATCTAGCAAACGCAGTGTTCCATATTTTAGAACAACTCAGTTTATAGAGTGCCTCTCTAGTTTTATACAGGGTAAATCTGAGAAAGTAGGCAAAACTTTCGGGAGTAACAGAAGGCAGCTATACGAGCGATATTCATCATAGAATGTATGGTCAGAATGCAATTAGTTAAAGGACATTTTTTCACCATCACATTTAAAGAATTGACACGAGAATGAGAAGAGATAATTCAGAAAACACTTTATTAGTGGAATAGGCTCATAAAAATTGTTCAAAAGACCTTTTGCCAGCTGTAGTGCAGGCATTACCCGAATATTGCCAACAACAATGGTGATCCTGGCGACTAGATACATATTGGTTTCTATGGGGCAGTTGTAAATTAGGCTTTTCATATGGCTCCACAAGAAAAAGTCCAAGCATGAGAGATCCAATGATCTTCGTGGCCAAACTATGGAACCTCAATCAATCCATCACCTGGAAATTTCATGGTTCATATAACCATCAGTGCTCTCAGTAATCCATGGTAGAATATGCCATTGGGTGCTTGGACCGTCCCTTTTCATACCATTTGTTTACAATGCCACATAGAGGCTCGCCGTTTGCATTCCAACCATACATTCTATGACGAATATTTCTCATATAGCTATTTTCTATCACCTCTACAGTTCTGCCCACTTGTTCAGATTCACCCTGTACATGGCTTTTCATAGTATCATATGATGAGACATCTGCACTTAAGTCTTTGTATTTTACTTGCTAACAATAGAACTGTTAACACTACAATGAAATCTCTCATTATAACCATCTATTATCAAAAACTATTTCTAAAATTGGCAGTATTTCTTACAATATGGTTAAACTTCTTAACTGAACACATTTCCCTATAGTAACTGCTGCCATAAAAAACCAAAACTGTTTTGAGCCATGGGTAGCCTTAGGGAAGGTTACAATGTATTTTTGCATTTTTATTAAAATTATTACAGAATGCAGAACACAAAATTATTATTGTGAAAATGTAGATTTCTATGTTTATTTATATTTTATTTACTAAATGAAGTAACTAAAATTAAGTATCGCACCTAGAAATTTATATTATTATACTTTTACTTAAACTAATTGATGCCCATTGAATTCTATAGGTATTTCCTTTCATTAAAAAACTGGTGAAGTAATCTGCAGGTATTTTTAAAATAGAATGTATAACACTGCTTAATGTGAATTTTTATTTGAGACTCAGAAACAGGCATTATGCCATAAAATGCTTTGCAAAAACTTTCCAGAGGCTGATAACTTATCATGATTAGCAAGCTAAATGATTACAACACAGTAAATGTTAATGATTTTACATCTCACATTTGATTTTGTAAATGTTTCAGATTTTTATAGCCATTTTGTGAAAAATAATATAATAGTATAAAGTGAATGTAAATTGTATAATTTTTGTTAGACTACAAATAACATAGTAATCAGACATTTACTGTTCTAGCAAATAAAAATCAAGTATATTTTTAAAAATTTTATATTTCACTGGATTCTTATTGTTTTTTTTTTTTTTTTTTTTTTAATATTTAATAATTTAATCATAGATTCAGCTTCCTCCCTTCCTATTTTTGCCTAATATTTCTCCATATCTTGTATTTTAAATTTGAATTGTGTAAAGAATTTTGCTGTCAAATTTTCTGTTCTATTACTTACCAATTCACTCGGGTTGCAATGAAAATATGTTTTGATTATTTTAGGGCAGTTTTGTTATAGTCACATATTTCTAGCAATATATTTAAAGCCATTGTCTTCATAACATTAAGATGTAATTTACACGTTAGTTTCATGCTGATCATTTCAAAATGTCCATATGTTTATTATTTATCCACTACACCATACTTTAATTTAAGATTACAGATTCAACAGATGGTGTTCACCTCTATATCAAACCTTCTTCATCATGTTGTGCTGCTAAAGCAGGGTTCGTACGGTCCTTATAGGTTCTTAAAAGTCCTTAGTTTTTTGGAATCGATTTTTGGTTCTTAAAAGTCATTTCAAAAGTCGATTTCGGTCCTTAAAGGTCAAATTCGTTCAAAATTGACAGGAGGTCCTTAATTTAATTAAACTAAAAGTTCTGTCTGTTTTTACGACTGCCATTTTGAGTGTGAATTAGCATTTTGCAGTAATATTTTTGGCAATTCACTGACAAATATGGTTATTTTTTGAATGGGCGAATGTGTTCATGGGTCATAATTTATTCCTATTTGTAATATAACTGGGGGATACTCGAGTTTCTGAGCAAGAAGTGAAACATAAGCATTTCAAATTATTTCATTTTTTGTAATGAAGAGCTCTCAAACAACTTTCCGCATTTGAGGATGTGAATTCTTTTATTAAATGGTTCTAAATTTGGCGACTTATCAACATTTTGGCAATTTTAATATTAGTTTCTATGGAAAATTTTTAATTCTGAAATCTGGGAAATTTTTGGCAACTTTTTTAGAACATTCTAACACTGATAAATTTCATTAAAGTAATGATAATGTATTGGAATTATATTTAAGAAATAACATTAA